CAAGCGCAGCCGGCAAACTGGAAGCCAAAACGCCGACTCCCGGGAGCGCCGCACAAATGGAGAGCAGCGACGGCGCTGATTAATGCACAATTAGTCTTGTGTTGTGTCACTTGTAACAGGACGGGCCCACGGAGTTTGTTCACGCTCTCGGCGGCGTTCCAGCTGGCCCTTCGCTCGTCTCGGGGACGCTTCCCGTGCCAGCTGGCAGCCCAACACACTCCCGCTCGCCCACCTTCCTTCATGACAGCCATCAAACCCCCCCCCCCCCCCCCCCCCACACCAAAAAAAAAAAAAAAAAAAAATTGGTGGTCTTTGAATGCTCCTTTTGAGGAGCGCCAAAAAAAAGAAAACATCTTTTCATGTGTTCCTTGCCAGCCAAGGACGTTTGGGGCAAGTCGGAAAAGTTGATTCCAAATGTCGCCCCGAAAACATTCCGACTTCCTCCCGCATGAACGACAACATGGCCGCGTCCTTCCTATGGACTCCGTATTGAGGAGTGAGACTGTTTTGCGAGCAACTCAAAAAGTGTTTCCGAAATACTGGACAAGCGCGTCGGCTGAAAAGATTTGTCGGGGGCAAAACATTTCCTCCAGAAGATCCCGCTTAAGTGCAAATGCAGTACATGACTGGTTGACTTCCAGGGCCATGCGCAGAGCCATTTTCTGGGTGAAAAACTGAAAATGAGATTGGGATGAATTGGTGGTGACGTTCCAGGATTTTGTTCAGCTTTGACAGAGATCTTTGGCTCATTTTGCTTTCTCATGATCAAATAATCACCGTGCGGCATATCAAGTACGGCCACACGTCAAGAATAAAAATGGCCTGAAAAAAACATATATATATATATATATATATATATATATATATACACACACACACACACACACACAGTACACGTCCTCACTTGGTGTACTTGGCAAAAAGCTCATCTCTCTGATGCCATTTCATTGAACAAAACATGGTGACCAAAACCTCTCTATGTGTCAATCCGCCGCATCGTAGCGCCAACGACTGTCGAGAAGGAATTCACGCCTGGCTCGACACTCACTTTTGCACTGTCCTTTTGGCATACGGGGACCTTGTCACGCGGCGTTCCAATGTCATCCTTCTCCTCCAATGCCCGCGCTCTTCGAGCTTGGGCCCTCTCCCCCTTTGCAGGCAAGCCTGCGAAGTCAGGCCCGATGACGAGACTGCCCTCCTGAAATGGGCTCAAAGGGCACGTTTGTCTCGGTCGCTTTGCGACTCTCGGGCGGGCGAGCGCCTGCCGACCCCGCGCCAAAAGAAAAAAGACGGCACCCTGTTCGGCGCAAAGGAAAGCGAACGCGGAAAAAAAATCACCGTCTGCGTTCGGGCTGACGTGCCCGCGGAAGTCAGCGTTCCTCGAACAAAGGCAAAGGAATATTTCAAGATCATTCCGGATGCCCCCCAGTCAAACACGCAGGAGGTCGCGAATTGATCCAGCCCGGCGCTCCGCAGAGAGATTAGGCCGGGACGGCGTGTTGTTTCTCTCGCGTTTGATTGCTCTGTGCAAATGATTTGCTCTTGAATGGATAGAAGCTTGCTGCATACATTTGACCTGTGAGGCACGCGCGCAGTGTTGGAATCACGTGGGGGGGGGGGCAGGGGCGGGAGGATGAGGGCTCGTCCCCCGAGTTGCTTTTTCATTGCGGTTCAGAACAAGTGGCCATCGTATTGTGGTGAGTTGATGGGGCGGATGCGCTTTGGCGAAAATGATGCGCGGCCTTGGCCGGCGAACGGAGTGTCAACAGAGTGCTAATTGCCGTCGGGCCCGTTATGATTTGTCGCGAGCGCGCACGCCAAGAGGGAGCGCCGGGTGATTTTTGCATTCTGGCAGACGCTGGGCAAAGAGCGCGGCGCCGTGCCAAAAGTTCAATCTGTGGCTCAAAAGAGCGAGTTGAGCGATTCGCCGGCGGCCGGGAGCCCTTTCTGCATGCTCACAATGGTTCCGAATCCAGCGTGTTTCAGTTGCTTTGTCATATTCTGGCATTTTTGTTTCCCCCCCAAAAAAAACAGACAGGAGGACAACCAATTGCAAACTCCCCAAAGGACTGCGGATGGACGTCGCAACAATCGGGCAATAGTCGGACCTCCACAACAAGATCAAGAAGAGGACGCAAGTCATTGAGGCCGTCTTGAATAATCAAGTCCATCCGCTTGGTGATCATGCTGCGGCCCAGGTGAGTTGCGCCCCTCACGGGACCGACGCTCGGGGGGCCCCAGCGCAAGATTCCTCTTCCCGTTCACGCGGCACATCACGATCTTCGTCGCCGCCGGCACAACGTGGCGAGGAGCAAGAAAGAAAAAAAACAAAGACAAAGAAAGAAAGAAAGAAAAACATCGATTCGGCCTTTGTCCACTTCCCTGGCAAAATATGCCGCATCGGCACTTTTCTGATGTGACGTCGCACTCTCATTTCCGCAGCGTGAGAATCCCCAGTGAAAGTTACGGCGGGTATTTGTGCGTGGTGGGAAAGGAGGAAGAGCGGCTCTCCTGGAACTTCCAACGTGTGGAATCATCTGCATCACGCTGTGATGAAAGACTGCTTTCTTCTTCATCACATATCAGAAACGATTCAGTGCGGAAACATATCTTGCTCAGCTTTTGGAGGAGAGAGGATTTAGGTCAAAAGACATGACTCATCCCCGACTTGTTTGTTCGAGGAGAGTGACATTTTGCACGTGTGAGATGCTTCCTCAACTCAACCCCACTCCGACTGTCTCGCTGTCTCCACCGTGCTGGACAGGGAGCCAAAAGAATTCCCACAACAACAAACAAGAAAACCATCACACATTAACAAAGACGGTCGAAAGCGCAAAAACGGTCCGACTCAACTGCGGAGTCAAAAGCCGAAGAATACAAAGGACGCGTTGGAAAGGTGGATGGGCAGCGAGGGGGCTTGCCCAACGTTCATTCCAAAGAGAGAGCGCCGACGGAAAAGGCTCGGAGCCTCCGCTTAGCGGATCTGTAGACCTGAGGCACCGGGCAGGGGCGGAGGGGTCAGGTGGGGCCGGGCCATTTCAAGATTGGAAAACAAATCGGAGGATCTTGAAAAGAACTTGAAAACGAGCCGGTGAAGGGACGCCAGGGTAGGAGTGAGCCGCTCCCTCAAACGAGTATCAGTCGAGAGGCGAGCGGCGGCATTTTGGACCCACTGGAGATGCTTCATGGAGGACTGGTGACACAGTTACCACCCCCCCCCCCCCAAAAAAGGAACTTTGTTACTTTAATGATGACTTGATATTAAAAGTAACTTATCTCGATGACCATGAGTTAGTTACTTGGTTACATTGGGCAGATACCGACCACCATGCTGACCAGAAATATGACACCCACTTTTGCCACTTGATTGAAAGTGCCTTTTTAACACGGACATGAATGTTTGCTCTCACTTAAAAAAAAAAGAAAAAGAAAATACAGAGCAGCTTTTCCATAAAAAAAAAAAAAAGTCTCCTGTATTTCACTTCACAAATGGGTGACTTGTTTTTCATTAAAAACATTCCAAAGACAGTCTTTTAAAATTTTTTTTAAGTGACATAAGCTGACCCGAGCGTTACTACTTGCAGTCGTAAAAGGCGCCACTCTCTCAAATACAGCTGTGGAATTTAAACACAAATATTTTTGACAAACCATGTAAGAAGAGTTACGGCGGCTCGATTGAGAATCGGAAAATGCATTACGTTGAAATTGGGAGAAGGCGTCAAGCAAGGCGTCAAGGCATGGCATCGGCGGTGTCCATGATGTCCGGCCGCTCGGCCCCGCCAAGGAGGCCTACCGGAAGAACCCGGAGCGGCGCCGAAGAGGTGGAGGAGGCCCGCAGGCCGAGGAGGAGGAGGAGGGAGGAAGAAAGCCGAGCGAAGGCGGGTGAAGAAGGCGCACGGCGAGGGAGGAAGCGTCGGGTGAAGAATGAAAGTGATAAAGCGCCAGGCGAAGACGGGAGGGGGGTTGGGGGGGGTACCCGGCTTGATATGATTTCAATGGAATGTTTGTTGACAGGACTCAGTGGCCCCGGGGCCTGGGGATAAATGATTGAACACCGCGCCTGTCAAAGCCTCGACGTTTTCTGTGGGCTCGTGTTTCTCTCCTGCTCCCTCTCGCTGGAGGGAAGGTAACGGGCCCGCTAATTGACACAGAATTAAGCATGAAACGCAGCCGCCTTCTGCCTTGGATGGCCTGCCCGCCAAAACGGGGGTGGCGGGAGGGAAATGGGGGGTGTGGGGGGCATCCAAGCCACTTGAACACACACACACACACACACACACACACTTCTAAACACATATTGAGTTGACATCAGACACGTGCAAACAGACAAGCATGAACGCATCTTCACACACGCGCGCACACACCAAAAACAAGAGGATCAACATCCCAGCAGATGTGCCACTATTCACTTACAGCACATCAGGCATTGAACATTTTTTTTCACACCCACACACGAGCCAAAAGAAAGAGAGAGAAAAAAAAAACAACAACAGCAGAAGAGCAGCGGGGAGCAGGGAAAAAAAAAACCCAAAAAAAAAACGCTCACACAACGTTGCACTAGAAAGTCATCGTTTTGCAAATTCCACTGAAACATACGCAACAAGACAATTATTTGCCAATCCTTTTCAACTTCTATTCAATTGACGACAAGGATAAGCTTCAAATTGATGGACTGGACCCGGTCAGCTGTTTTTTTTAGACCCATCCATCACAAGACAGCCATGACACTGAGAGCCCAAGCGAAGGCTGAGGAGATGGCCGAAACCGTCACCTCGGTAAGAGGTTTTTTTTTCTTCGCTAAAAAAAAGACCATTGTCTGATCAAACCCAAACCTTAATTCTTGTTTTATTCATTTTTCAGGCTTTCCGATCAATAGTATTTGTGAGCTGCTCCAATTGTGGTATGCCGCCGTTTATTGTGCGGTTTTGTTCACCAGAGACAACAGCCGGGTGAAAAAAAGTTGTCAGGTCTTCGTTTTGACTTTGTGGCTTTTGTTTCAG